TGACGACAGGTCAGGTCCATATGAACAGGATCCTTCTTCCATCCTTTTCTCGGACTGGGACTTGTTCATATACGTTCTTGGCAGATGATCCAGACGTGGTTTGCCATTGCCTTCTTCTGTGTGTGAATGGAGTAATTGTTGGGATGCCACGGAGGAAAACTCCGTGTTGCCTAGACCACGGCCTTGCCCAACACAAGTTATAAATTCGGGCACCGCCGGGAATCGAACCCGAGACCCCCCAGGATTACAAGGCCAGCGTTCTAACCGCTAGACCACCGTGGCTATTGTACGAAGTAAGCTTAGCATATCGTGGTCTTCCTCCGTCATAAGATTGATGTCCACTTTCTCGGACTCAGTGCCAGATTTCCTTTGGTGTTAATCAATTCTCTGGCGTCAAACGATGATCCGATAGAATTTCGGAGACGGATTCTTTTTCACACTTACCTGTCACCGTGGACAGATTTGTTCTTAAATTATCAGCGACGCTGTATCAACGTTTCCCGTCAAGGGCGATCTCTCGTGGAAGGACCAACCTTTGTTGGCTCTGAGTGTTCTGCTGTCTCGATACGCCCTCAGGTGTTGGTTGTCAACTAACACACACGGCAAATACTGACGCAATGTTTGCCAGACACTTTTCGGTTTGGCAAGGCGTGGGGGTCAGATACGACCTCGGCGTGGTACAGGAGCGTTCGGAAGTTGTGTCTCGGGACTGGACCGGGCGGCTGGTGTGGTTCTGTTTCGATCTGATTCGGATCTTCTTCTCGGCGCATCGAAACGTGCGCGCAGTCGCTGATGAAGACAGAACAAATCTCTGAGAAAAACATGAAACGAAGTGACATTTATCGCTGTTACCGTGGTTAAATAGGCGTATCGGGAGTTGGCAAAATGCGTCCTAGAAGGTAAAGCTGTTTTGAAATTTTCCAAATTTGGGCTGACAATATTAAAATGTATCTCAGATCGGCGGTTGTGACTCGTTGTGTCCAGAGGCTGAAAGTTACACAGTTCAGGGGACCGTGAGCCCACATTTAACCGCTTGTCGTCTCTGAGTTTCCATTCAGCAACGCGGAACGGAGTCATCTCGAGGATTTCGAGTGTCTGTCGGGATGTTTCGTGTGTGTCAAAATACGCTACGTCATCAGACGGATCGTTCCAGAGCCAAGGATGCCAGAAGTAGCGAGGGGTGGGTGCTTCGAGCTCCGTCGGTCACTGCGGTGTGTTGCCGTATCGGCCTTCCGCCCCCGCCCGGATGAGTCAGGCGATGACTCAAGTGGAGAGCGATCCCTGAGCCGGTGGGGAGCTTCGGAGAATCGGGTGTGGGGTCGGGGTCTTATTTGTAATCGCAGCGCAAAAGCACGTGGTGCATACGTTTGCGACGAAGGGCTTCGAGAATTGTCAGTTGACCATCAAGATGGCTCCCTTCTGGGTTGCAACGCCACCCTCAAGATGCAGGCAGCAAGAACCTGGTAAAAGTGTACCAGACTACACGATGTAACAACCCAGAAGACAGCAACTTCAGACCCACCTCCGTGAGAACCTGAGATCTTTCTTGGCCGTCATCTTGTCAAGACGATGGACTCTGCCGACGAAGTCCCCGTCGTTGCTTGCAGAACGGGAGACGAGGACGAGCGATTGATTGGCGTTCGTTAATCGCCTTTGCTTGTTGCAGGTCGGACCACATGTGACAGAGGCGAGCGGACATGAGTGGGCGTAGCCCCGGTGTTAGAGGGGGGCCTGGCACCCCCGCGGGCGGGTCCAGGTGCCTGCTCATCCTTCAGCGGTGCCTCGCCATCCAGCTCCAGAAGGTGGCTCTGCTGTCGGAGCAGAGGAAGACGCCCGCCCGCGGACACGACGAGCCGGAGTACTGGATGTACGACAGTGGGTACCTCCTGTTCCAGGTGAGGGTGCACTCGTCAGACACTTTCTCCTCTCCCACCCGCACCCCACGCAGAAAATTAGCGCCCGACGACGTTAGAAATGCATACAAAATTGTGGTCCGGAAACGTAAAGTATAAAGAATTATTTAAAAAAACATTCTTTGTAAGTAAACGGGGTTAGACTGTCTCGGGAGATGAACCCGGTGGGCGACAGTCAGCTTATGTTCCATTTTAAGTTACTGAGGGTCTGGGCTCTGCGAAACTAGTTCTTTGTCGTCTGTTCCCAAAAGAGTCCTTGGTTTTTCTGACACGTGTCCTTTGAAGCTGCAGTTGTCTCAGACCCGCGTGTCCTCTCCCTTCACATCCTCCCCTCCTCGCCTCCCTAAACCTCTTTGTAACTGGTAATACCGCTTCCTTCCAGTCCCCTGCACCAACCGATTTAACCGCCACTGCACATCCTTACAGAAGTTGCCCCAAAGACACATCTGTTCCCCACTTATAGGGAATTTACTTCCAAATACCCGAGACAGACCTTACCCTAAGCTATTTCTGAAATACATTTTGGTTTTAATACGTGTTACATGTATTATATAATTTTATTTTATGAAAGCGTCTTTCGGATGGTGTTTGAAGTTCCCAAAATGGCGGTCTTCTGAAGTTCCCTGATGTCGTGTTCGCCCGGGATGTTGGCCAAATATTTCCTGAGTGACCTGGAGACAATTCCAGTTGCTCCTATAATTATTGGGATTAATTTTGCTTGAACCTTCCACATTCTCTGTATTTCTATGAGAAGGTCCTTCTATTTCAAGATCTTCTCCGCTCCCTTCTTAATCACATTCCTGTCAGTCGGTATTTGCTATATCAATTAAGAGACAAGTTCCGTTTTTGTTTCGGATTATATCTGGTTTAATTTTTCTGTTCTGACTTGTTTGTTCCACAAAATGGTTATTTGGCTATCTTCACGTGTCTCCACTGTCTTCGGGATGTGTTCTTCTTTTCTATCTTTACCTGCATTTGTTAAAATGTAACTGAGTACACACACGATCATGTCGTTATATATATATTACTCTCTTGCCAGCGCTGGGCATCAAGACACGTGATCTGTCGTCTCATCAAATTATTATTATGATTATTATTCAGTTTTCAGCTACAAACTTTAAAGAAGGAGACCTTGGAATAAATGGTTTGATAATATTAAAATGTATATTCAAGAAATTGAGGTGGGCGGGAGTCACGTGGTTCAGGACGCTTGAAGAAACTTCTGGTTTCATAAAAGGCGGGGAATTTGACCAGTTGAGCTACTGTCAGCTTCTCAATGAGGACTCTGTTCGTCGGCGTACAGAATGCAAGTCAGAGCGTCGGTATTTTTGCTGATTTCCCTCTGCGGGGTCCCAGGACGACCGGGAACTGTCGGCGACAGGCTGTCGGAATAAGCCTGCTGGGCATCAAGACACGTGATCTGTCGTCTCATCAAATTATTATTATGATTATTATTCAGTTTTCAGCTACAAACTTTAAAGAAGGAGACCTTGGAATAAATGGTTTGATAATATTAAAATGTATATTCAAGAAATTGAGGTGGGCGGGAGTCACGTGGTTCAGGACGCTTGAAGAAACTTCTGGTTTCATAAAAGGCGGGGAATTTGACCAGTTGAGCTACTGTCAGCTTCTCAATGAGGACTCTGTTCGTCGGCGTACAGAATGCAAGTCAGAGCGTCGGTATTTTTGCTGATTTCCCTCTGCGGGGTCCCAGGACGACCGGGAACTGTCGGCGACAGGCTGTCGGAATAAGCCTGCGGTTTATTGCCTTGTCGCTGGGGGTGGAGTTGGCTTTAACAAGGGTTTCATTCATTCGTCGTTGAACTGTGCGTTCCTTTCACTGGCGGCGAGCGCGGCCAAGCTCCCCAAAGAGGTCCTTGTTCAAAGTGTTTCTGTTTTCCGTAATTCATTTGACGCTCTCAGTCGAATGATGGGAAAGGATTTGGAAGGAAGCGAACCTGATATAATTTAAAGTACTATCCCGGAATTTGCCTAGGACTGACTGAGACAAACCTCGGTACAGCAGGTTTCCAGACCGAGATATTTAACCCGGGATGTTCTGAGTACACCCTGGTCACTCGTGAGTGATAATGTAAATGTGATTTGAGGTTCTCACGGTGAAGACGCCGATTTAGGTCTTCCGGGTTGTAACACCGTGCAGACCTGTAGATGGATATAAACTTTTTTGAGGAACGTACCGTCTCCGTCTTCAGGGCGTTGGAATCTGCGTGCTGGTCTACGCGACGTCACATTTTCGCGTCCTGCGTCGCCTGGTACCTGGGCTGAGGGCGAGGTGTGCCCCGATCGAGATGCGAACCGGACCCTTTTGTTTTCTAAAGCCGATGCCCGGTCCGCTACCTGCCTTATCCCTGCTAATTCACGGCCACATTTGAACAACCTGGAGTGGAGGTTCTTGCTATGGTCAGAGCAGACACTTGTCTGAAGATGGCCGACTTCTGGGTTGCAGCGCCGTGTCGTCTGGTAGAAATTTACCGACGCTTCGGCTTTGCTTACTGCCTCCATCATCAGGGCGATAAGTGTTCAGACTGCCACAAGGCGGTAAGCAACCCTGGAACGTCGGTAAACGTCTGCCAAACTGCACAGCACAGCTTCCCAGATACTCGCCACCGCAGAGTCTGAAATCTGTGTTTCGCGTGTCTTCCTCTGTCTGGTGCATTCTGTGGTCCTCCCCGCAATTGAACCACAGATTTAGAAACAGGAAATGGC